TAAACTTAGAGGGAAAGGAAGCTTCTGTGTCAGGAAGAAAGGGGGAAGACAAACCCTACAGTTAAACTGATTTTTTAAAAATGAGGTTCTGGTACACTGGATATAACAATAAGAAGAGCCACGAATGAGAACTGAATTATTACTGCTAAAAATAAAAGCCCTGTACAGAAATCACTTCACACCCTTAAAAGTAACTGCACATCCAAACACAGGAACTCCCACTAAGCTCCCTCTGCCCCCCAGGCCTGGAGACACCTACCAGCAATCCTCCTCCTCGGTGCAGTTCTCAAGTTCTAACACTTTCACTTCATCCAGATCCTCGTGGTTTGAAAGGCTTTCCAGGTCTGCACACTTTTCCCTGGGATCCTGCTCGTGGATTCTGGCTGAGGGATGGACCCCCAGCAGCTCGGAGCCGTTCCTTGTATCCGCACAGGAGGAACACCTGCCCGTGCCATCCTTGGCGGGCACCTCCTCCTGGAGGGCACTGTTGCAGCTGTATTCCCTCTGGGCCCCCAGGGCTCTTTTGAAGCAGTTGTTCTCTCCTTCCTCCTGCCTTATTTTGCTCCACTGGCTGTGCAGGTCTGCCATGATCTGCAGGTCCTGCTGCCCGGCGAGGGCGTTGATGCTGTTGTTGAGCTCCGTCCCGTTGAGGCCGGGGCTGTCCCCGCCAATCTCCCCCGGCCCGAGCACGTTCCTGCTGCTCTTGCTCCTGGGGTGCTGGTTCTCCAGCTCCAGCCTCCTCACCAGCTCCCGAAGCTTCCTCACCTCTGCCAGCTCCGGGCCCACCTCCTCGGGCGCGGGCTCCGTGCCAGGGCCCATGGCGGGGTGCTCCGGGGGGGCTCTCCCGAGGTCGGGCTCCAGGTCCTGCTGGATCACCGGGGCATTCCCGGGCACCACCATCATCCAACGGGCACTGCAAGGCATGGAAAACGGGTCAGAGCTCCACAAAGCTGGAATTAGACATCCAAAGGTCTGGCTTTTATAAGGATCGACTAATCACACTGGGGTAGGGGGTGATGGTTTTATCAAAATCATTGATTTTGGACATTGCAAAGCCCACAAAGCCCTGCTTTTATACAGTTAGGACGTGCTATAAGTGAGCTCATATGAAAGGAAGCTGATTTAATCCCCCACAATAGGTTGGTTTCCATGTGTTTACCAACAAAATGCATAATAAAAGCACCGGTTGAGCGAAGTCAGGAAGCATCATTAACAAGGTGCTGACGTCAGGCAACGCCAGCGCTGAGAAAATGGTAAAAACATCCTTTGTTTAATACCAGGTTTATCCTGGAAAAGCAGGGAAAAAAAGCTTGAAAACATTTCTTGTATCACCTTATACCACAGCTAACGACAGGAACCGCAGTCACACGAAAATAAGCATAAATAATGTCTTTATTGGCATATTTTCCACTTAGAGCTGAAAACAGAGAGGTGTAAACACAGTGAAACCCAGCAAAAACAAAACCAGATATGCCACCATAAGATTACATATTCCACTAAGTTCCATAAAATGAAGCCATCCCTCTGGTTTTCCTCAGCTGAGAAAAGGAAGAGTGTGCAGCTCACTGTTGCTCAGGTAGCTTTAAACTGCACGAGGCTTTTTGCTTCCCAAAAAACCCTAAAGTGCATTTAACAGCAGTTTTACAGCACTCACAGAACAATAAGCACACAGTGACTTCTCCCCTCTACTAGTGATTCATGTGAGTTTTTAGTTTCAGTGGGTGCATGAGTTTCCAAGTTGACTCTTCACTGCAAACCCCTAATACTGAAAATCCCCCTAATTAATGGTCCACAGAGCGAGGAAAATGGCTTAAAAATTAGAAATCCCTTCTATTTTGCAGCAGGGCAAACAGACTGAGAGAAGAGGGGGTGAGACAACACAGCCAACTCAGTTTAAAAGATCTGATGCAAGTGTTACAACTGCAATCAAACCCTGATTTTTTGGGGGCTGGGGATGTTCTTCCTGTCCCTCCCTTTGCTGCCTGAAAAGTTGTCTTATTTTTAAGGCCAAAGTGGCTGCAGGTAGAGGAAACCACAAAAATTAACTGTCACAGAAAGCAAGGAAGGTTAAAAATAGATGCCCCTATAGCACATCAGCATCTCTCTATTCCTTAGTCACTTGTAACAGCAGGAGCTGGGTACATTTCCTAAAAAATACCGGTTTATTTTGTTTGGTTGGGGGTTTTTTTACCTGACATCTCTTTTTTTAATTATTTTTGTCCTCTACGTGCAAGATGAAGATTTGCAGCTCCCATTTGAATAAATAATAAACATGAGCAGAACTCAGGAAGAGCTGAAAGCAAACACGATTTACACACAGCCCATCAGCAGCACTGCCAAGGGCATTCTGCCTCGGGAGAAGGAAATTTAAGTGTGCAGTTCCCAAGCAATCCCATCTCTACTCGTGTGCCAGCTTCCAAAAGCCTCCTTGCATGGATTCTCACTCCTACAAAGCCACCTGATCCCTTGTGGGTACCGGCACAGTGTGATTTCCAGGGAATAAGGGACCAGCGTGATTCCCAAAGATATTCCCAAGCTCAGGAACTCTGAGGATGTGCCAGCAGGGAGTTTAGGAGTTCCACTGTCCAAGCGAAACACAGTAGCAAGGAGGTGGGTCACCCAAAAAAATCCCTTCCCCTGCAAGGGCGAGCAGCTCAAAAAAAAACCAAACCCCAACATAAATGGGGGGGAAGAGCAGATTAAAAGCGTTCAGTAAGTGTAAAATCCACTCAAATAAAGCCGCGGGGACACGGGGAGGATAAGATATAAACCTGCAAAACTTAATTTCATTGTGTAATGAAATAAGGGGAGGGGGGGAAGGCGAGGAGAGAAATGAAATAAATT